TAGCTTCCAAAAGTTCGAAAGACTGCATAGAGACCCAGTGTCTAGGTTGGCAGTTTGATTTCTCACATGAAGACACGCCTGCTGCGAATAATTGGCGTATATGCGACCAGAGGCCCTCCACTGTGTTCAGTGAGCGTTTACTCAGCTCGGATGCCAGCGTAGTTTGATACGCATTCAGAACCTATGGCTTCGCCAGCAGGCATATATCTATGCGCGCATAGCGTCGTCGCATGCGTCCACCAAAGCGAACTCTAGGTTGGGCACAAACGAATGCTCCAACTCATGCTAGTTTTAGACACAGCCTCTCCAACTGTAACTGATCGCGATGTGATCGATTTGCGTCCATGGCTGATGGACGACATTTTATCCTTTCCGGGTGGTGTGTCAGAAGTTAGTGTTCGCGAGAAAGTGACGAGCATTTTCACACAGGTGTAGCAGCTGCTCGCCGTTATCCTTACGAGAACCTACATCGTGTTGGCCGCCCGGATGCAGCCGACGTCAGTGAATGTAGAGGACTCTTCAGCAAGAAGCATTGCGAGCTATTCCTTCCAGTGCGACACAGAGTTCATCCAGAAGCTAAAGGTATCAAACGTTGAAACGGTTTATTTCAGAAAACGGTTGACCTTTATACATATGGGGGGAGAGGCTCCTTTAGGTCAATCACAGCAGATGACTCCGTTGTCATTGCGATCACTTCCATTGAATCCCCTATACAATTGAACATAGAAGCCTCTTACTGGCTCTGTGGATTTTCACATTTGATGACCTTCAATCTGGGATATACTTGAAATCAATCTAAGTGTCAAGAGCTCAGTGGTTGGAAACAATCGGATAGTGTATTTCTTTGGCAATTGTTTCACTTTTGTCATGAAAATTGTCATTCACGTTGAATCAGTATTCAATTAGAGTCGCACTTTATGGAGAAAAGGTGCGATGATCACGAAAATAAGCAAATGAGTTAAGACATTATTACTTTCGCTCGTTGGGATGTCACTTCACTATATTCAACTATGTGATATTTAAAGCACTGAGTTCCCTTTATCATTCTAAATAAGATAATGAGAAGACTAGTATTGCGAGATGGAACCATCTCGTGTTATCTGCTCACTCGCAAAGTAACAACATAAAGGTGAATCACGTGACAAAAAAATCGACGATTTGAAACTGGTCACAGAGGAAAACTACGTAGACGCAAGAATAACAGATCAACGAGCTGGATCTTAGGGTCATGAGCCCCAAGGAAGCTTCAGGGAGACTGTTAATTGTTTTTGTACACAAAGGATAGGGCGATGCCGGTTAAGTACCACCGCCTCGGCAAACCTCAATACTTTGGGGTTGTCATTTCGATAGATAACTGTAAATGTTTACCTAGGGTCAACCTGATTCGAGTAGATGTCTGGCGATCGATGATGTCGGAAGCTTAGATACCTTTTCTCGTTCGGCTGCTGGTTGTGTCGTTATTTTAGCAATCCGTTTTGGGCTATGCTCTCCAATGCGCTTACCCAAGAATCGATATGTTTTGCCAATGTAACTACTACGGCAGTTACAAACAAATTGGTAAATACAATGGATTGCGGCGGAGTAGTAGGCTTCACTGGAGGCATAGACAACTTCCTAGTCTCCCAAATGGGGCAGAATTTGGCGGCATTGAATGTCCGACGAATCACTGTGTGCAAACGATATTATTTGTAAAACTCCTTTACTAACAACAGGATAACCAACTGCTTTTATAAAATTAACCCTGAACTCAAAGCCTTCAAACTGCTTAATGCCCCCCCCCGCGTATTGTTGTCATAAGCAAAAAACTTTTAGTGCTGTGGAACTTTTCACTGGGGTGTCTACGACTTGTCTCATGTGTTTACTTGCTTGTTCTATTCTTTAGCTTCATCCAGAAGAGAAACCATTGGTCATCATGGTTTCCAGTTGTCTAAGTATTCTTTCCATGTTTCTTGTTTTTAATGATGGTTGAATTTCCGTCACTTTTATGACGGCCCTATAGCCTAACCGTAACAATCTTGTAATCTGACGACGTGGGTTCGAGCCTGCGTAGGGGCAGGGAGACCCTCGCAGTATCTTCAGACCACGTGCAATCGGTGGTGGTTGCGCGACAGCGAAGCGTCAGTACTGCGTACCGGCATACTTCTGATGCCTATCTTTCTGTCTTACTTTTATGATATTGCATGTGCATGTCATAGGCAGTAGTTTTCTGACCCGAGGATTCATTGAGATATTTTACTTTTATGAACGTGTCTACTATTTCCGATATTTTCGCTGTTAAATGAATTCAGGTTATCGTAAGGCGTTGCCCTTTTTGAAGAGCATTGGTACTTCCAGGAGAAGGTTCACCACGACTACCTTTAATATGAATCAATATCAGAAATCATTTCAGGGTAAAGAATTCTTTTCGGTAAATCTCATCAGACCCAAACTTTTACATAACAGTGATTGTGGATATAGCGTCAACTGGGGCTGGGATTGACTTCTTGACTGTTTGAATGACCAAAATCGATAACTTGAGACAGAGATAGAGATGGTAGACCAAGTAAACTAAATAAACATATGTACACAATTTTCATTAGTACAAGGTAATTAAGTAGGTAAGATGACGTCCAAATAACTAAGTAACGGTGTCCGTTGGCCAAGGTAGTAATATCGGCCGTATAAATCGTTTTTGGACACATAATTCCGGCTTTAGATGGTGAATGTACATAGCCTCGGCGATGGCTAAGAGCTGTTTGCGGAATCCTTGGGAGAAGTGTTCAGGTAATGAGTAAATGACTTTGAAGTCATTCTCCGAAGCTGTATGGCCACATTCAAGGAGGTGCGACATGATAGAGCTGTCTGAAGACCTCATTTCGCCTCTGTAAAACCATGCCGGGATGTGTTCACGAACCCTCTGAGATAGGCGTCTCGTCGTGCGACCCACGTATCGTGCACCACAGGAGCACGAGTACTGATAAATGATCATTGAACGGGTCAATGGCGGTAGTCTATCCTTCAAGGGTTTTGTAAGCAACGGCTTATTGTGAAAAACGATTCTCAGGCGGGCCGCGAAATAAGTTTTCTCGACAGCATCTTTCAGGCGTCTGGATAACATATCAGCTGCAGAATCGCCCTTAAAGGGTACATGTATGAAAAGCTCTTTCTTAGGAGCAATGCTCCTAGGTGGCTTTCGATTACGTTCCTTCAAATGTTTCATGATAAATTTATCCGGATAGCCATTTTCCCTGAGGGCGTCGCTGATTCTCTGTAGTTCTTCGTTGACGGTATCCGGTGTACAAATACTGCGCGCCCTGAAGGCGAGAGATCTGATTAAACTCCGCTTGTGCTGTAGTGGTACACCGGATACCGTCAACGAAGAACTACAGAGAATCAGCGACGCCCTCAGGGAAAATGGCTATCCGGATAAATTTATCATGAAACATTTGAAGGAACGTAATCGAAAGCCACCTAGGAGCATTGCTCCTAAGAAAGAGCTTTTCATACATGTACCCTTTAAGGGCGATTCTGCAGCTGATATGTTATCCAGACGCCTGAAAGATGCTGTCGAGAAAACTTATTTCGCGGCCCGCCTGAGAATCGTTTTTCACAATAAGCCGTTGCTTACAAAACCCTTGAAGGATAGACTACCGCCGTTGACCCGTTCAATGATCATTTATCAGTACTCGTGCTCCTGTGGTGCACGATACGTGGGTCGCACGACGAGACGCCTATCTCAGAGGGTTCGTGAACACATCCCGGCATGGTTTTACAGAGGCGAAATGAGGTCTTCAGACAGCTCTATCATGTCGCACCTCCTTGAATGTGGCCATACAGCTTCGGAGAATGACTTCAAAGTCATTTACTCATTACCTGAACACTTCTCCCAAGGATTCCGCAAACAGCTCTTAGCCATCGCCGAGGCTATGTACATTCACCATCTAAAGCCGGAATTATGTGTCCAAAAACGATTTATACGGCCGATATTACTACCTTGGCCAACGGACACCGTTACTTAGTTATTTGGACGTCATCTTACCTACTTAATTACCTTGTACTAATGAGAATTGTGTACATATGTTTATTTAGTTTACTTGGTCTACCATCTCTATCTCTGTCTCAAGTTATCGATTTTGGTCATTCAAACAGTCAAGAAGTCAATCCCAGCCCCAGTTGACGCTATATCCACAATCACTGTTATGTAAAAGTTTGGGTCTGATGAGATTTACCGAAAAGAATTCTTTACCCTGAAATGATTTCTGATATTGATTCATATTAATGAAATGGGAATATTTGCTTTGCTGAAGATCAGCATTGCCCGTGATTCATTGAGACTACCTTTAGTCAGAGACGTGTAGCGTCTCTCTATGTTGGCCGATTTGGTTGTAAGGGAGTTGCACTGATGTCTACTCTGGCACCGGAACCTCTGCAGCGAAATTGCTCTGTCCGGAGAGCACTTCTACGTTTTCATCAATACCAGGCCTGAGCGTATTCTGAATAGTTACTGGATGATGTTTTCTTCCTCTCAGTTCCCAACCACAAAGCATATTACCATCTAATCTAAATCATTTTGTGGCTTTCGACTACGGATGCGGTGTGGGCATGATATCGCACTTTGTTATTGGTCGGCCAACGCGGTTCAAATCGTGCGTTCCGGCTGTATAAAAGTTTCATCAATCCTTACTAACTGAACTAATCCACTCTGCTCTGGTCGCATATGACCACAAAGCTCCGAGCTGAAGCCTTGATGAAGTCTCTTTTTTATGCAAGTTAGCGATTCTGTTATATCAGATGACTACTCGGCAGTCACTCTCGTTTCTAAGCACTGTGCTAGTGATGCTTGATACTATCCAGGTAGGAGGACGGCGTTAAGGAATAAGTACATTAAAGCTGCAAGCTCTTTCATTATCCACTCTAACCAGTGTTCTGATTGGCTACCATTTCTTCCGATTACATCAGTTGAGCGCGCTCTGATAAACGTTCCCTTCGCATTTACCTGCCTTTTTTTTACAACGTCTCAGGTCTTTATCTTGGTCTGTCCGATGCACTTGCCTCCTTCGTAAAACCAAATGTGTGCGATTTAACCATGGGCACCATTAGCTATCGTCCGAATTGTCCTCGGGAGAAACAGCTTCGGGAAGAGTTCAAATACGCTTGGCGCAGAACTATCGGCTTCTTTATCAGTGGTATGCAGGTATCTGGCAATTTTTTCCTTATTGGTGTTGCATTTTTCTCTTGCGCAATAAATGCTTTCACCCGTGCTCCTTTGCATGCTTTGTTTTGATGATGAATTGTTGCCAAATTGCTTTTATCACATAAGCTCTTAAAGGAAAAAGGCATCGGCAGTACGCCGGTACGCAGTATCGACGCTTCTTTGCTGCGCAACCACTACTGGTCGCATGCGGGCTAAGGATACTGCGGGACCACCCTGACCCTACGCAAACTCGAACCCGCGCCTTCAGATTACAAGACAAGCTCGTTATCTTTAGACTACGGGCCGGTCACATAAACTCTTACAACAGAAAGAATTTCCCGATAAACATCAGTAAGATGCGTGATGTCGTCACCGTTACCATGTTTTCATCATGTTGTATAATCATTTGGGCCTACGAGAATGCAGCCTGCCTCATCTCCTCACGTGTGGCTATCCCAAGAAACACAGCCTTCATACTCCTTCTGAACACAAAATCGATAGACCCATCCTCCTTTTTATCTCACTACCGTATGTTACCGATTTGCTTCTTACCTTAGTTTATCGCCTAGTGCTTATTCTTTCTTCTGCCAACACACATCTAGGGCCGAGTTCCAGTATGTTTCTGCCACCATCGCCCTATTCATCAGCTAACGTACTCAGCAGATTCGCAATGGCAATTAATACTGTCATAATCTTCTCACTAGACGCAACTCCAAAATCACAATTCACTGCTCCACAAAAATTCTAGCCCAACCGAAGGAAAAATCAAAACGCCAAATGACCTTGTCAAAATAACGTATTAATCGCCGTCAACGAACACTGTACAACGACTGCGGACCTTGGCTGTATTTATAGGTCTCTACTGACCTTCGACTTCTAGAATTGGAAGGTCAACTACCAAGGTTAGTGGTTCCCATACCTTTTGCCGAGGGGTCAGGTGGATTTTAATCACGTGCAGAAGAAGAACATTCCGGAACGTTCGAAATCGATGCGCTAATCGTTAACAATCGATTAATCGCTAAAATATTGAATTTCCAAGGCAATTCTTACTTTCTCCCGGACACCTCCCCTCCTGAGATATCGTTCGAGGTATAAGACGTAAGCCTAGGATTAACTTGCAGTCTTCGGAACAGTGTCCTCTGCCTGTCGGTCTACCTCCTTGGCAGAAGCGCCCGAGCACTTTTTTCCGAGGTTCTTGTTCTGGATTCTGCTCGACTGTGTGCAGTCGTCCACTGCTTCCTTCGGCAAGTTGAAACTTTCCACCAGTAAATCGAACGGTAGGTCAGTAGGTCTTGCTTGTTCCGGTTGGCAAGATGTGGGCCGTAACTGGTTTGCATGCCGTGGCCGATATGGTGGCGTTGGTGGTTGTGTTCTCCATAAGAAATACTTCAGGCCACTTGCTGTATGAATCGACTATAATGAGGAAGCTTCGGCCGTTGATCGGTCCCCGCAAAGTCGACATGGATGCGGCACCATGGCTTAGTAACTCTTGGCCATGAATAGAGTACTGATTTTTGTGGCGCTTTCAGGACATTGGCACACTTTTGGCAGCGTTTGGCTATTTCTTCTATCTGTTTGTCTATAAATGGCCAATATACATAACTGCGGGCAAGTGCCTTTATTCGGTTTATTCCAGGATGCCCGGCGTGCAACTGTCGAATAAGACGCTCCTGAAGTGCCTTGGGGATGACCACTCTTTCTGAAAATAGTATGCAGTCGTTTACGATAGAGAGCGAGTGTTCGTTGACGGCGATTAATACGTTATTTTTGCAAGGTCATTGGCGTTTTGCTTTTTTCCTTCGGTTGGGCTAGAAGTTTTGTGGAGCAGTGAATTGTTATTTTTGGAGTTGCGTCTAGTGAGAAGATTACAACAGATACTTACTCCATTCTTGTGTGTGTAGCCGAAATTATGCACCACTTTAGACGCACCTTATTTCGAAGCACACGCGGAGGGGGGGGGGGAATGCATTGCTTTGCGCCATCTCAACGTGGATCGCAATTCGCATCGAGGCAATCCTTGATTAATTTTTGGTCTCTGGGACCAGAATCAATGAAACAGATGAACGTTGGATGTTGTCCGTCTTCCTCAAAACACTACACTCCGAACTGTCGGTGCAGAAATAGCAGACACTCGAACCCAGCGGCGTTTTGCATGTTAACCGAAACCTGTACTCCTATGACTTCAACTGTTTCAAAATAGGCTGAGGTAGCTGCGAAAAGAGGCAACCAGCATGTCGGCATGCTGCGAAGAGCATTCGGGAGCTTTGACCCATCAATGATACACAATGATACACAATTCCTACATGCGTCCGCATGTTGAATACGCTATCCAAGCTTGGCAACCTTGGTTGAAGCGTGGCCTAGAAGCGATAGAGGCATCACAACGAAGAGCAACAAAGAATGTAAAGGGCCTGCGCTATCACCCTTACCACCGAAGACTGAAGTTGTTGGGAATTTTCAGCGGTCACTATTGAAGGCTGCGCGGCGATCTCATATTAGCGTATCAGATATTGAGTGACCCCAACCACGTATGCCGCCATTTGCTGAAACTTAGCCACAACACGCAGCTCAGGGGTAACTGCTTAAAGTTGAAGGAACAATATAGCCGTTTAGAGTGTCGACAGAATTACTTTTCCCTTCGGGTTTGCCAACCCTGGAACGCACTCGCATACTCAGTTGTATCCTCTCCTACCTTGGATGTTTTCCCAAAACGATTAGATGTTGCTCTAAGCTCCCAACATTTTGTTACCTAAACTCCCCCATTGTGGATTACGCCAAGCATGCTTTTAAACAGGATTTATGTATCAAATGGACCTAAGTGAGCGACCATATTTTACTTTTCTCACTCCTTACCTCATTGATCACTGCACCCCAGTGTCTTTCTGAACGTTTGCGCTCGACAATTTATTTTAATTCTACACTGATGTTACTTATCAAACTATTCATCTCGGCAGACGTTCAATAGATGACCCAAACATATTTTTGATTTCATCATATTCACCTCAACCATCCTACGGGACGTGTCAAGCACTTGCTTTTATCCCGTGATATATCATTGTTCATTGACACCGCGTCGCGGCGGCGATCAGTGCTTGTTACAATCAGTCACTTTGAGATTGGGTCTCATCGTGGTGCAGTGGTTTGCGTGCTGCATTGATCCAGTGGGCTATTCTGACTGGTGTTTCTCTCACCTGCAGAGTCATTCATACCAGATCAGTCAATGTTTAGAGGCCGGACAAACTCAGTCTCCTGATCCTCCACGGAGTCCCCCTAACCCACCGTCTAACTCCCGCTGTCATGCAGGGTTGCAACTATCATCCATACATTCCTGGGTTTTGGACGACTACACGGCGGAATCGAGAGTGACGAACGTCGTCTCTACTTGATCCCTTGTCTAGCTGGTCATGCTTACTCCGGATTTCACATGCTCACCGAGCTCGGTCATTGATTTGCAAACGTTTCATCACCGAACGAGGTAACTCTCTGCACACAATAGCACATTAAGGACGTTACCTCCTTCGGTGATGTAACGTTTGCAATGCTCGGCGAGCTTCGGCATGAAACTCGAAACAGTCAACTCGAGATACCAATGTTTCAACTCCTTCTAAATTATGCTTATTTACATTCACGAGGCCCATTGGTTGTGCTACCAACTTGCCTGAGCACATTCGGTTCACACCTCGTTAGGTCGAATGTTCGCTCATGAATTATCTCCACTGTGTTTTTTTCACACCCCTCGTTTCGTCACTTTTTCTTCTCACAGATATACGACCCAGACAAAGAAGTCTTTGTGAAATTTACCAGGCAGGTGTGTCGCAGCCTGACACCTGACGAAGTGTACGACAAAGGTGAGTGCATATTTTGTACGTCTCGTACAAAATGCTGAAGGTGATACCAGTGACATATGAATAAATTGCCACAACCAAAGATGTTTTCGAGTTTGCAGGCGTCGGACTACTGTTTATAATGCGAATAAACCTGCAGTAGGTCCAGATGTCTTCGAATGCTCCCAATTCGTCCGTATGTGTTCGTCCACTCGTCTTACAATTTCATCTTGTCCGGTCCTAGCACAAGTTTTCCCGTTCACGTTGGAGCACATCGAATGGTGGTCGCCATTGATATGCGCACTTCATGCAGCTGCACTCCTCCAACACTTTGTGACCAAATTTTGCGTTTTGATTACATAGGGCTACACTAGGAGAGAGATAACCTCTGTCTGCAACCGCTGTTCCGTCACCTACGGGTGAAATATTGCGAAACAAATAGTCTCTACATCCCACTACCTCGGTAGTTTTTATTTCTCATTTTTCACACCTGTAACAGCCTACTGAAGCATCAGCAGTACGCCGGTACGCAGTACCGACGCTTCGCTGCCACTCAGCCACCACCAGTCGCACGTGTGCTATGGGTAATGCGTGGGTCGCCCTGCTCCATAGGCAGAATCGAACCCGCGCCGCCAGATTACAAGCTCGTTACCACTAAGCTAAGCGCGTACTCACCAAAGTCTAGACTGTTTCTGAGTTCGGACCTCACTATTTTCGGTGCACCTTAAATTTCAGCTTTGTTTTTTTGCACCATTCTGACTTAAGCGTGGGACACTATTCTTTGACGTACACTAGTAAATTGAACCCAACACGTTGACTGATTTCTTGTAACGTTAGTGCTCTCACAGACTGTAAATGAGCCGTTCAACTCATTATCAATCTCGTTACTCACCGTGTACACCCTCTTTCTTGCCTTCTCTTGGCTACTTGTAAACCAAGGATGTTTTCGTGAATGCCTCTCTTTATCACTTGCACTAGTACGAACTCCTCTTTTTCGCCTACCATCTTTATACTTAGCAATCTCAAGATTTCTCGGCTTCGACCATAAACATCGCATGCGCCTCGCTGCAGCCTATCTCACGAAATTGGACGATCTGTCTCGTTGGGTGGAATGTTATGGCTTTTCGTCGGTCACTTTTTGTCGCACTTCCCTTCTTCTGGGACACGAATCCACCAGCATCTCCTCCGATACCGTTGAAGTGGTAGTCCGTTTGATCGATTTCACCGATTGGGCCGAAATCTCGCCTGATGTATCCAGCCAGTCTGACAATTCCCCGGAATCCGAGTTAATCACAGGATTCGCTCATGGACTATCAGTCTTGATGGGAATGCTGACGCGGGCTATCAGATCTCATGCAGTGGTACAAGACTAGCTCTGCATAGCTGGACTACACTAAGCGCCTCGTTCTCTCTTCTGACGGTTTCTCGAAATACCCATTCCGTCCTCCACATTCACACCTCCACTGTGAACAGGATGCGTTCCGCCCAAATGCTTCCTTCACAGCAGTCTTTCTGATTATTTTTATTAATTCCATTCTACCCAGCCGCACTATTTTGCTCTTTGATATACTCAATGTACTTTGCTTTTTTATTTGTTTCAGAATAAAAGTATCTTTTTGTATAAATGTTTCCCCAAACGTGATGGTGGTGTATATTCGTCCCGTTTTCTCCACACGTCGAATGCGCACTTCATGAATTTGCGATTTCCGCGCAAGAATGAAATGCTTCACTTGGAGCGTGACCGCGGAATTCCACCCAACCATTGATTATTGCCCGTTCGAAGGGGATGAGTTAGTAACAGATCTGTGCGAATTGGGCACTATATTGGCCTGCGTTCCCTTCATTGAAGGCGCCGGCATATTTCGGATTCATTTGTTTCCTACCAGGCAGTTTCTAGAGAAAAAAATCACATACCAAATGGGTTCATGGTGAAATAACTGTTTAGCATCCTTACTCACTAATTCCCTCGGTTTGCACCATCTGATAGTCTTGGGTCACGGGATAGAGCCCGGCTCAGTTCTCATGGCATTGTTGCTGATGCTGTCACAATGAACCGGACGAATTTAACCGTGTACATCCAAGACAAATAGTTGTCAGCCTTAGGCAACATGGATGCACGGATTGAACTTCCGCCATTCCCTTGGCATCTCTGGCTTAATTGCTTGCAGCCACATCGCACTGTTTCAGGCCATTCAAAGCAGGCCAGTCGCTCTCTGAACGGTTGTACAACCGACAGTCGGAGAGTTTCCTCCAGAGCTGCAATCTGTGTGCAAGTAGCGCCTGAACTACCATATAAATTTCATATATATATATATATATATATATATATATAGCTGGCGGCATCCGGTTTCGGATTTGCCTGTCACTGTGGCCAGCCACAGGACGCCCGCGCTTACAGAGGGACCATGGATGGCTTGCGCTGCACCACCCACAGCTCCATCCACACAACCCATATTCAGTGTAAACCCGAAGGAATAAGACCGGGAGGCATGTGGATGGGAGCCACATTTCATCAACCGAGCCGGCTCACACTCCTTCACAGGCAAACACAAGCACGCTGTATTTGGGAATCAATCGCATACAAGGCGGTGGTTGGACCGTAGTCCGCTCCACACTGAGTGCATGGAACCACTCTTCGAGCCAAGCACGGCCACAAGGACCGTGAACCCCGTCCCCTCCAACAACGACCAACTGTCTCCTGGAACCAGTTTGAATTAGGTAGTAGGTACCAGACTGGTAGGCACCTTGTCAACATGCACATCAAGCGCAGCCACACTGGGGATATCAAACAACAGCCATTCACTTGAAACGACAAGATGAAATAAAATAAATCCAATAAGGCAACAGATACAGTGGCATAACTCTTCCTTAAATTACCATATGAAGTAAGTCGGTTAGCAACGAATCCGCGATAAGGAAAAAAAATGTCCACAAGTTACTTAAAAATGCTACAAACGCAACAAAGTTACCGAAGATAAGCGCAATTAGTGTAAGCAACGTGGCCAGTTAATAGAAGATTATTCAGGTATGCAGAACAAACCAAATAAAGTGGAATGAAATGTATCCAGATTAAAAAGACCTAGTTTAAGTGTAAGTTGGTTTAGCCCAACTGCAGTGAAGAAGCATCAAGAATACAACATTAGCCTCAGCATATATATATATCACATTGTGTACAGATATTGTGCCGTCAGAACCTTGACGGAATAGGAAAACATGGCTACAGTAGAAGAAAGAAAACAAACAATTTTTCCACTTGCATTTTTTGCATTTTTATTGATGTTTCTTATTGGGGGAGGGAAGGGGAATCACCACAACAAGCAGTGCTACATGCCCGCCATTGAGTTCGGTTTCGAGCCATGACTTCCAAGGTTTCCAACCAACGGCACTCAGCTTCCTTGGGACCCCATCCAGGTTGTCAGGACGAACTTACCGTGGCCAGCTGTTTTTTCAGCTATTTTATCCTGCGTCTCCAAGTTGTCGACTTTCCACCACATCGCATCCTCCAACCCTGTCCAGTGACCGCGAACAAAGCACGACGCGGAAGATGCTGAACGGGCATACGCAGTACGTGTCCGAGCCATCGTAGTTAGCGCAGGGAGACAAGTGCCACCCAAGACACGCTGTGGCTTTAACGCTGGTTATGTGGTTCACCCACGACACGCGGGCGATGAACCGCAAGCAACGGTTCTCGAGGACAGACGACATAGCTCATCGGTACGAGCAGGTCAAGTCTTGTAACCGTACAGATGTACAGTAGCACTATAAACCCGTCCTTTGATGGAGAGACTGATGTCATGGCGGCGCCATAAATGCCTCGGCCTGGAGAAGGCGAGACGAGCTCTTGAGATACGCATCGAAATCTCGTTTCCAACAGCCCCATCAGCAGTTATGCAACTTCCCAGGTGGAATGTTGACGACCACGCCGTATCCTCCAGTCCAATCCTGCACTAAAGAATAGGTCGACGCTCAGGCGGCATGCGTAGAGTGTGGGCCGGCTCCGTTGATGAAATATGGCTCCCATCCACATGCCTCCCGGTCTTATGGTTTCGGGTTTACACTGGATATGGGGTGTGTGGTTGGAGCTGTGGGTGGTGCAGCGCAAGCCATCCATGATCCCTCTGTAGGCGCAGGCATCCTGTGGCTGCCTACAATGACAGGGAAATCCGAAACCGGATGCGTGAGGTGGTTTCCAATACTTCAGCACCAATGCTGATTCGCGGAAATATTAAACATTGCACATCCGGTGAAGGGCTCAAAGGGACAGACAGTTTTGCTTGTGTTGGTGGTGAGCCCGAATTTGGCAGCTGTCGAAGCCGCGTTGTGGGCAAACAACGCACAGTCGTCAGCAAACAGCATGTGCTACGCATGCCTGGTCACCGCTTACCTAGGAGGGCCTTGTTCAGTCTCCCTGGTGTACGATGGCGCAAGGCTCGAGGTGGACAGAAGTTGACTTGGCAGCGGGAAATGAAGTCACTGACGACCAAACTGGGTGCCGTTGGTCCGTCTCGCCTTCCGGGTTGGAGTCCGCGTGACTCACCTTGTGCTTGGCTCGAGATTTTACAGGTCGTGGCTTGCAACCGACACCAGTGGCGCGTCTGCTGCGGTCTCCTAATCGGATTGTCTGTTTAAAGTGTGTTTGGTGCTGAGTTATCTGCGGGGTAATGGCTGATTATGACGCGTGGCAGTGAAAGCCGCAAGGAAGCTGTCTCGCCGATGCCGCCTTATCTTTGCACGATAGCCAGCTGTTTGTGACGGTATGTTGTCTACACAAGGTGTAGGCGCCTTGACCTAGAATGTTTGCTTAGGGCATTAAGGTTTTCAGGTAGGTCTGCCTTCTCTCCCTCTTCTTATTCTTTATTTCATAGGTTCTCATGGTTGTATAGCAGCGAAGCATCAGTTCAAATGGCTGATGTACTGCTGTTGATGATGATGATGATGGCATGCGTAGAACGTGACAACGCAGTCACCTCAGCTAGCTCGGTGAAACCAGCTTGTTGAAGAGCACGACGTCTAACATCATCACTGTGAGCTCGGTATCCCCACCGTACACTAGCAATTTTCATCAAACAACTAGTGTCGGAAGTCGGCGCATGTCTTCGCCGCGAGTTGGCTAGGGCCTGCGCACACACAAAAGCACTGGGGAGGCGAAGATGAACCATGAACAATGCTTTAGCACGGGTAAAAAAATTAGGGGCTTTTCAAGTCCCGTAGAATCGCTAAGTGAAAAATAAAATGATCAAGGGATTAGTGAATCGTCGATTTAAACGAATACGGATTTAACTGCACTGCTTCATAACGATACTGAGTAAGTAGAAATGAATTCTGTACAACTCTTTCGAAATATGATGAAAAACATTTTAAAAGTTGTGAATATTGTTGTCGTTCTAATGTAACATTTAAACTATCTGACTTACGATATTTCAGGATTCACAAATGTTGTATGTCATCGTAAGTGTGCAGTCGTTCTCTGAATCGAATAGAAGCAAAATACAAATCTAACAACGTTTTGAACTGTTGTACAGAGGTTGCCTCAACCACATGTTCAGGTAAACTGTTCCAAATGTTTACCACTCTCCGTTCGAAGCACAGTGGGTGGGGAACACATTTCACATCCGGCACGACAAGTTTGTATCTGTGTTCGCGTGTGCTGCATGGCCCTCGTAAGTGCAGCATTGGCCTTAGTATTGGGAAGTCACCGAGATGTAGAATACGGTAGGTCATAATGAAGTCGACTCGCACCCGACAGTAGGACAAGGTGTAGTGTCCTAGTTTCTCACACCTGTCTTCATACCCAAAGCCACGTAAACTCGGGATCGGCCTGGTAGCGTGTTGGACCCGTTCGATCTTTTGTGCTTCGTCTCGGGTAGTCGGAAAGTAGGCGGACGAACCGTACTCTAGCATTGGTCTAATGATGGAAGAGAACAGACCAGGGACAACCTCCGGACCATGTGCCGAAGCTACATTTGAGCGCTCAAAGCATGCGCAGTCCGTTCCGATATAGCCTGTTCGTGTTGTTCACGGACTTCAAAATGGGTATTGAATGTGTGCACACCAAGTACAATGCCGAGCGATTATAGTTCGCGTAATCCGTGGTGTAAAAAAATAACAAAGGGAATGATAACGCACTCGTGTGCAGCTTTCTTGGCCCGATGGGATATGAAAACCCGGTTTACACATAAGCGGCGTTTAATAAATGTTATGCGAGAAATGAGAATGAGCACGTTTGCTCTGTAGTGTTAGATTGACACCTGAACATAGACTGCTATATGGTGTAATGTTAATGTATGGATGTATCATCGTGCCGTCTTTTGAATGTCGTTAATGTGGGGGATGAAGCAACTTAAGTAGGGAAGGCGTCTCGTGGTTGGCACACGCGAAGTGTAAAAGATTTCTGGCAGCATTCCAACCGGCTATACTGTGTGGTCAGCTTTGGCTGGTGATCTCTCAGAGTGGTATTGTGATTCCGCTTCAGAAGGTGACTACAAGCATGGTTTGGATTCCTTTGGCTCAATGTATCATTAAACTCGTCCCGCAAGCCTAGATATTGTCCACTGTACACCCCAAGGATTTTCATCCTCAATTGGTAAGAGATGAACCAGATCCTTTACGTTTCTGGTTGCCCTAC